TTTCTAAACCTTATAATTGATCGTTAATACACCTAATGTATAGCAGATCGGTACTCCCCACTTGTCCGCTTCCGCTATTTTATAAATATGATAATGTTCCACTTAACACTGAGAAATCGTGTTTAAACAAATTAAATTCCCAGAATCTTGCAAGTTGTAGGTATATTTAGAAATTACTATCATAAACCTAACATGATTCGGTAATCTTGGATTGTTGGTCCGATCAATCTTAACCTGAACTATTATTCAATTAAAAAACTCGAAACCTACTTTATTCACCAAATCGAAATTATTCCTTTTTCGTTTTCTCACAATTTTCGGTTCATTTTTAGTATTATAAATTATGAAAGTCATATATATATATATATATTTATTGTGTTTCATATTTTAAGATTATTTAAATTTGTAATGTGTACCTACTCTCTATGATGGTGAGTGTGGTGAAGAGGGTATTAAAAAACCTTTCTCGATAGCACTTACGTTATATTTTAGTTTTTTTAGTTTTTATTTGAGTTAGACTTAAGTTAAAATGAACAAAACACTGTATTTGATACGTTATATTAAAATAGATTTATTCTGTTTTGCTTTTTTTCAAAGTTCATAAAATATTCGTAAAACGCAACTGATACAGTCATATCGCAGCAGCGAACGACAATGCGAATAATTTTTAATGTTGGTGTGGATTAAACGTACCATGTACTATTTTGTTTGTCTGGTATGATTTCGCCGAATCTATAAAATCTTGTTCACTTTTCTTTTGTCTGGAAAAGATATTAATTTTTTATTTAGTTCCACCCACCAACATTAGTTGCCTACCAAGAAGTTGAGATAAAACAATGATATAAATATGAATATCATACTTTTAGTATAGATGAAAATATGTTCTACTGTATATAATAAAAATAAAATCTATAAATAATATAATTTACGCTTATTTACTTATGTTTGTGTCTTATGTTTAATTCAACTAACTGCACGATTTGCAGTAGGCATTTTAATATATAGCTTGATAAAATATAATTACTGCGTATAGTAATACAAACATCAGTAATTTGCAAATTTTCTATAAATATACAACCCCAAATTCCTAAATTYTGCATGGATTTTCTTTTTATTATAATATATTATAGGGACCCATTGTGTCCGACCACTGTGTGCATTCGTAGCAAAATTAGGTGTGAGTTGTCCTCAATGTTATTCTGATGATATATTCGGCTTCTTTTTCTCRTTTATTTTTGTCTGTWATTTCAATATTTACACAAATTTATAAGTCCTTAAGCTAATACCATTATTATTAGCATATTTTATATTTTA